CTCCGCTCTAGTTCATCCTAAATGAGTTTGATAGGGTTGAGGTCAGGGCTCTGTGAGGGTCAGTCAAGTTCTTCCACACCAAACTCACCCAGTCAGGCCTTTATGGACCTTGCTTTGTGCACTGGGGCTCAGTCATGCTGGAACAGGAAAGGTTCTTCCCCAAACTGTTCACAAAAAGTTGGAGGCATACAATTGTCCAAAATGTCTTTGGTGCTGAAGCATTAAGATTTCCCTTCACTGGAACTAAGGGTTCTAGACCAATCCCTGAAAAACACCCCATAGCATTATATCATTATCCCCCCTCCACCAAACTTTACAGCTGGTACAGTGCAGTCAGGCACGTTCTCCTGGCATTCACCAAACCCAGACTCGTCCCTCAGACTGATAGATAGAGAAATGTGATTCATCACTCCTAAAGTGCAGTTCTTTTGCTGATGTTGCTTCCAGAGGCAATTTGGAACTGTTTATTGAGTGATTCAACAGAAGACAGGCACTGTGCACTTCAGCACTCGCTGGCTCTGAGTTTGCGTGGTCTGTGCTTTGTGGCTGAGCTGTTGTTGCTCAGAGGTGCTTCCATTTGTAATAGCACTTACAGTTGTCTGGGGCAGATCTAGCAGGACAGAAAGTTCACAAACTGACCTATGGCAGAGGTGGCATCCTATGACAGTGTTTAAAGTCACTGAGCTCATCAGTACGACTGATTCTACTGTCAGTGTTTGTCTGTCGAGACTGCAAGACTATGAGCTTAATTTGATCCAGCTGTTAGTAATAGGTATGGCTGAAACATCTGAACTGAATAATTAGGAGGTGTGTCTAATACTTTTGTCTATATAGTGTATCATACATAAATCAGGTTATACGGCTGTAACCAAATTAGCAGAGTGTCAGCAACATTTTCAACAAAATCATTTTATATTAGACCTATTTTATATTTTCTCTCAAGCGTTTGTAATATTTGTCTTAGCTTATTTTCCAAAATAATAATTTTTAAATCTGTTTGAGGAGATTAAAAACTAGACCTTGTACAAAGGACAATGATCTGGGTGGTCTGAGCATTGACCAGGGGTGACATACAGTCAGCGGGGTGCTGACCTTATCAAACCAGCTAAAAAAAGATCATTAGAACCATTAGAATTAAATCCTAATGGTTTTGCTTTCTAATGGGAATTAGTTTAATGGTTATCATTAGAGACCATTAGTTTACTGTAGGACACCTTTAAATCCCTTTAGGAAACTGGGAATCAGCTTAATGGTTACGGGACCATTAATTTCCTGTAAGACACCTTTAGATCCCTTTAGGAAACCATCAAATGCATCTGGAATCAGTCCCAGAACACCTGTTAAACCATTAGACTCCTTTACACTGTGATATCAACCCATCAGGAGAACACATTACTGACTACTGGACACCACCAGGAACCAGCAGAAGCTTTTAATGGTTGGTTTCTATGATTTTTTTTTGAGGAGGCAGCAAGCACATATCAGTCTGCTGGCTTGATAAGATCGGCACCCTGCTGACTGTTTACCACTTCTGGTCCACCCCTAGACCACCCAGATTACTGTCCTGCATACAAGCTCTAAGTAATCTCAGCAACAGATTTTAATTTCACATAGTTTATTTTCAAAAATAAACTAAGACAAATATTATATATTGAATAAAACTCAGACGAGGCCTGATATAAAAATGATCTTATAGATATTGTTGTTGCTGACACTGTACTAGATTCAAATTATTTACTAAACTAGTTTACAAAGTTTAACTAAAGAAAGGAAGGAAGGAAAAACAAGTAAATAGGACTGTGAGTGGAAAATGAGCGATGATAAGTGGAATTTCCGGGGCCTCCCTGGAAAACGCTGAGCAAAACGCCAGTGGACCGCCAGCTTTGTCTTTAGTGGGCCAACAGTTGCCCACTGTCCTCTTTCTATCAGGGGGGTTGGGTGACCATATTTTGGTTTTCAAAAAGAGGACACTGTGGGCAGGAGAAAACAAATGTAAAAATGAAAGCAAAGCCAAATCCCAGACATTTTTGGCGATTTAGAAATTCCAGCCGGACACATTTTAGGTCCCAAACAGAGTACATATGCTCACCCTTTTTATAGGACATTCACAGGGATAATCAAGGGTCTGTCCTTAGCTATTATGAAAATTTTCCCTTTTCTTTCGAGTTTTAGCCTGTTTAAAGGTCTGTTATTTAACTGGAAAACATTCAAAGTCCTGACTGGTTTGATTCATGTTATATTTCCACTGACTTTTTGTACGGAAGGTCAACTAAGCAGCCCTGGAAACGCAGGAGGCCTGCTGGTGCAGTTTTCCCGTTGCTATGGTAACGCCACTCGAGGCAGAGGCCTGCAGAAAGGCTGCAATATATTTTTTTTGCTAACACCGTAAACATAACGTTTTTCCGCCCTTCTCACTCGTTACTAGCGTACAAAAACAGCAGAATTCCGCATGTACCTGTTTTCGACGCCCGTTTATTTCGTGGAAGTTATAAAGAGACGCGTGGTTTGATGATTTTTTTCCACATCGTTAGCCAGCCAAGCTAGCGGAGAGTGTTTGGACTCGGTTTCCCAGCATGCGTTGCTTTATTTGGTCTCGTCGCTGAGCTCAAAGAGAGATAGAGCGAGAGAGACAGTGAGAGAGCGAGAGAGAGGGGCAGGAATCCCACCAGGGACGACGGCCAGTATGTCAGAATGAAAATATTCACGCTGTCACATCGCCTCTTCTTCTGGAAACAGACCTTTACGCCGTGAATACTGCAGGTAAGACACCCGCTCGGCCAAACCGAGCTCACTGCTCTCTGCTCGCTCTGGCCGGGTCGCCGCATCCTCCGGGTTTTGCACCTGCCTGCGCAGACGAGGCTGAAGTCAGCTTCTCATTCGCCAGCTCCCTGTGCGAATTTTCCCGTTCCACCTTAAACGGTGCAGCAATTGCATTCTGGTGTCTTAGACAGGCTGCTTGTTCGAATGTTTCCCGTTCCACCTTAAATGACACAGCCTCAGGCACCAGCTGCACCATTTAAGGTGGAACGGGAAAATTCGAACAAGAAGCTGGCGAAAAGGAAGCCAACTTCAGCCTCGTCCTGCGCAGTAATGCACCATAACAAGCTACAGCTACCCAGCAAGCTTTCTGTACAAAACCCCCCAAATATGAAGACGTTTTCTCATGCATATAACCTAATATAGCACTGTAAATATGGCAGGCATATTTTGTGTCTCGTGCATGCATGGTTATTGCCTAAATATAGTGCCAGCAACGCCACAGACAAATGAATGGATCAGATTGTCTGCTGGGCTCAAGTAGTTTAGGGCGTTAGAAATCACCAATACAGTCCTTCAGAAATAGCCTCATACAAATGCGTTCATTTTGATTATTATTGTTATTGTCAGCCATCACAGCTGCTTGTTTACATTCTTAAACATATTTTACGTAAGCCAAATGAGTAACAGCGAGAGTGTTGCTGTGTAGCTACGTCAAACATTCAGTATTTTAACGATATTAACGATAATGCATTTGTTTCTACATGTAATAATGAGGGTGGCCAGTGGTGGGCTGCCTGTCCTTCTGAGTGCAGGGCCGTTTTCACTGTCATTTCCATTCTGCGTCTATTTTAACTGCCAAAATGTGTCTAATTTGCTTTGATATATCTAAAAGAGGCGGTAGGTGTCCCATGAAGGACTTTATGGGGAGGATGTTGGGCTGTCCGCAATGCAGCGGCCGTTTTAGGTTCTGAAGTGGCGTTTTTCCCACCCGTTTTCCAACAGACCACGCCCCTTGTGCGAGAATTGGAACGCGTTATCCCGCCCTCCTGCGCTCGGATTGGCTAGTATTGTCGCGCCTTCCTCGCTGTGATTGGATACTTCAGACTCGGCCTACTCATGAGCCCAGAGCTAGCCAACCATAACACAAGAGGGCGGGGCCTGCCGGAATAGCGGTGTGGGAAAAAAACAAAACAAAACAAAATAACGCCATGTGCTGTGAGTCTGTTTCTTATTTGACAGCCAGCTGCAGTCCAGAGGTAACGTTAATGTATATTAATGCAAAGAGATCTTATTCTAAGTAATTTTGGAGCATTTTTGTTGGCCCATTTCTTATAAATTATCCCCACAGTTTCAAAATGCAGCTACGTTACGTTATATTAAAGGGAAATTCCACCAGTCTTCCAAAATTTTTGAATAATTCAGTCCTTGAGATGAAAACAGAGTCAATCAGAGTGGTTTAGTGTGAAATATTTAATTGTAGAGAAACTTCCTGACTCTGATTTCTTTGCAGTGGTGGTGATCGGAACCGCCATGTCTACAAATACAAATATAGCCATTTTATTTACTATCCAAAACCACCGGTGATCCTACAGCCTTCTGAGTTTTCATATGTAATGGTGATAATAGTAAAATAGTCATAAATCTGAAAAAATAAGTTATATATTGGGATTAGTTTTTCCTTACAACACCCTGCATGTATCCTTTCGCCATGAATGGATTAAAATTCATTTTAAGCCAGAACTTTATCACAAAACTATCAAGTAATGTGTCATATATCAGGCAGCATATATCTAACCATTTCATATAAGGAGATGGACATATTAGGGAGCTTTCCGAGGCATTAAACTCTTCAGATGTCTGGTTCCTATCACCACCACTCAGTAAGTTTCTCTAGAATGGAGCATTTCATACCAAACCACTCTGAATAGCTGTGTTTACATCTCAACCCTTTAATTATATAGACTTTTTAAAAAATCAGTGGAGTTCGCCTGGTGGTTTTCTTCACCAAGGTGTGTTTTTCACTCCTTCTGTCGTGCAAGATTAATTGAAGTGTCCCTGACTCAAAATAAGTCCCCCTTCACACAGACCAGTGCATCTCCTCCAGACCAGGATAGTAACCAGGGCTCTCAGAGTTTCGTCTGGTGCTGCAGTTCATTGATTATTAATGTGTAAGAGGAAGTGCGGGGTGGCCTGTAAGAGAGAGGGAGAGAGAAAGAGAGTGAGAGAGAGAGAGATAGTGAGTATGTCTTGGGTACAGGATAGAAGCTGAGAGACCCAAAGGCAGAGAGCGAGAGAGAAAGAGAGAAAAAGGTCGAGAGCCAAAAAGGTGAAGCAAAAGAGTTGAGCTGGAGCTTTCAGGAGCGCCACTGGGACCCCACATGTCCCTTAATGTGGGCGGCTGTCTGACCAGCAGGCGGGAGTGGCCTCGCCTTCCATCAGAAGAGAGCAGAGTCAGATCATCCACATCACACCAAACGCCAGCATCAGCGTTTTAAAATGTCGGCTTACTCCACAAATGGTTCTTAAGTGAAGGGGGGAAGGGAGTGATCGAGTGGGTGAGTGAGAGAAGTGAGTTAGTTCTCGGACGGCTTCAGAATTTCTCATCTGAAGGATTGTCTCGGCTTCTCAGGTTGCTGCGGCTGAACGGTGGACAAACTGGTTTATGGTAAGCAGGCGATGCAGTGAGGAGACAGTAGCGATAATAGTGATAAAAGCTGTGTTATTATTCAGTGTCCAGCTCCATACAGGCTGTTCATATTGACACTGAGCTCTGTTATTGTACTGTTGTTATTGTTCTGTTGAGTTTAGGCCTGTATGGTTCAGTATGATGTATGATACGCTTGTGTGCCTTCAAATGTGGCAGAATTGGTTATTTATGTGTGGATAGGAAATGAGACGGTCATGGTACGTCATGTATGTAGTCATGAAAGGGTTAGCGATTTAATTAGCGTCGAGATTATGATTCATTAGGAGATAATTAAGTGTAAATCAAATTTTGAATTTTGATTCAGTACAATTAAGAAATAATACATTATATATATATATATATACACACACACACACACATATGTGTGTATATATATATATATATATATATAGCATGCATAAGTTAACATATGCCAATTTTCTGCTAAGTTTAGTGCACAATTTCTGGTTTCTGAGTTTAACATATTGGAAAAAATAAGTGAAGTGTGCCATAACTTTTGCACAGGCCACTTTCTATTTTTTTCCATGTACATATAATTCAGCAAACAGTATTTGTGCACTAACATGAAGTGTGTGTGTGTATATATATATATATATACATATACATGTATTCCAAAATAGTTGCAGTTGAATTGCCTATATATGTTACATTGAAAGTCAGTTATAGGCTTCTTGTAACAAATACATGTACTGGATTTGTTGATATGGATTATGTGTCCATGCCCTTGAATGAATTAGCCATATTCATAAAGAGACAATAGGAACCTACATTCTGCTTGCTGTGCACTACTGACAGGCTTTTATGGCACACTGATGTTGGCAGTCTCAAGCCAAGCTGTTTCACCCAAGCCCAGTAGCCAATAACTGAAGCATCAGCTGCGCAGGACCAGCTAATAGCCCACTGGTCACGGTCCACTGGGAATCGTTCAAGCGTCCGGTCTCAGTGCCACATTATCGCATGTAGCATCTTAATGCGATGATGTCATCGGCGGTAATGGTAAACCTCACTTGTTTCAGGAAGTGCTCGAATGTTGTACCCATCAGTGCATTGGTGATCCATCAACATCAGGAGTAGCTGAGGTCACTCTCCCCTCACAGCACACAGACACATACACACATTAATATGACTCATAAACCATTAATGATAACACAAGCATGATAGCCAAACCGTTAAATACACATATTTTATATTATTTCTTATTTTCTCTTACTTTGTATTATTTCATTTTTAGCAGCTCATTGAAACAGGGAGAGGAATTGTGGGAAAAGTGCAGATTCTGAACTTTCAATCCAAACCCTATTTGTGTTTGTAAGAAGGAGAGATAATTTATTATGATCCGAAATTGATGAAAGTCTGACATCAGTACAGAATTTAAGATGAATGTAAATATGATTCCTTCCATAGCTAACTAATGTAATGAGTCATGTAACTGTGTTATTACACTTAATAATAATAATAATAATAATAACAATAATAATATAGCAAAACAGAGTAACCCTTAATCTAGATTAATATACACTCTTAAAAGTGACGGTTCTTCAAGGGTTCTTTGGTAAAGAAAATGGATCTATAAAGAACCATGAACACTCAAAGAACCCTCTGCATGATTAAAGTGTTATTTTCTTTGTGAAAGTGTTCTTCAGAATGATGGAGAATGTGCTGTAGATGGTTCTATACAGAACCTTTTTGAAAAGGGTTCTATTTAGCACCAAAAAGGGTTCTTCTGTTGTTACAAGCTTGACATTGTAATGATTAAGCATTGTTGAAAGGATTCTTCAGAATGTTCTGTAGGTGGTTCTATATAGAACCTTTTTGAAAAGGGTTCTATCTAGCACCAAAAAGCGTTCTTCTACTGTTACGATGTCAAGCTTGTAACAATAGAAGAACCCTTTTTGGTGCTAAATAGAACCCTTTTCAAAAAGGTTCTGTATAGAACAATCTACAGCACATTCTCCATCAATCTGATGAACACTTACACTATGAAAATAACCCTTTAATCATACAGAGGGTTCTTTGAGTGTTCTGGATTCTTTATAGATCCATTTTCTTTACTAAAGAACCCTTGAAGAACCATCTTTTTGTAAGTGTGGAAAGGTTTATATAATATACTACAGTGATAATCATACTGTAACGTACTATGACATGAAACCCATTGCTAATCATGCGGGTTTTAAATTTTTATTATTCCATATTTAGTTCTGACCTCGCCATGTGATCGGCAAGTGTCACTCCGCCTTAATTGGCTGTAACCTAGCAACAACAACAAACCATTAAAGAATAACAACCACAATAACAAAAAAACAAGTGTATTATTATTTATTACTGCTGAAAAGAACTATGAACTGGACAGAGAACAGTAGTAATGCTGGTGATCATTATATATTGATTTAAATTGTAGTTGTTCTAAAGTAATATGAGATGTATATCAATATAATACATGTTAGCATGATTTCAATGTGCTTTTTTAACAGTTTCAGAATATTTTAAAGGAACAGTTTTAAGTAACAAGTGAAGCTAGAAGCACTCAATTGTCATGACTCTGTTTGTAGATCCCTCATTGGTGGCTATTCATCACTAGCAATATTATCTTTTTTTGACTGAGCTATTCATTTAACGAGACTCTCATAATAACAATTTTTGTTTTTAGTAAAGTTTTGTTTACTAATATTACAGAAAATGTTCACACCATCCCACCCATCATCATTAATAATAGATTTTGTGGCCCTCTGTCTCTTTCTCTGTTATACGTTAATGCAGGTCACCATGATTTCCTTATGATGTACCGTAGCTGACGTTACCCAGCGTCCTTCCTTCGCCGTCTTCCTCACAGTGCAGTTAACCGTAGCAAAGTCATTCTCGCTGATAGAGGTGTGTGTGTCCTTTTCGGTGGTTGTCAGAGGTGAGATCAGATGTTTTATTCATGCTGATGATGTAAGAGGTCGAGAGTGTAGAATGTTTAACTGAGCTCTGTTATCACGCATATGAGAGGAATGTGGTTTGGTGCAGCGAAGATGTGCAAATCCTGAACGAATCATTCTTTTGAATTGACTCTTAGGGGTGAATCAGTCAAATTGAGTTATAAATCTCAGCTGATTGTACTGTAGATTCTACACTACTAAAATGAAGGCGATGCCTCACACTGTAAGTTAAAAGTCAGGTCAGCTTGAAATTTTAAAGGAAAATTCCACTGATCTGTCAAAAATTTTTGAAGTTTGGTCGTTGAGAAGACATTCAGAGTGGTTCGATGTGAAATAGTTCATAGTAGAGAAATTTACCAACTCTGATTTCTTTATAGTGAAAACCGGGGGTCACCATGACTACAACACAAATATAGCCATTTTATTTACAGGGGTCGGCAACCCAAATGTATAGAAGAGCCATTTTATCCATTCAACAAAAATCAAACCACTGTGGGAGCCACAGCATTTTTTGTCCATTTTCACATTCTTGGCTCTAAATGTGTCTTAGTATGTGCTAATGTGCTAGTATAGGCCAACAAATATAAACGAAAGTGCAGACTTACTTTGTTCTGCTTTAATCTTTAGCTCAGCTATAGCCGCTTTTCTCACATCTCCAGCAGGAAACTTTTCCGTAAAAGTGGAATAATGTTAGTTTCTTGTAAAATGTCTCTCAACGTTTGACTGTTTTAGGTTTTTAGGCTGAAGTCAGCTTCTCATTCACCAGCTTCTTGTTCAAATTCTCCCGTTCCACCTTAAATGGTGCCTGAGGCACCAGAATGTATCTGCTACACCATTTAAAGAAACGGGAGAGGGACTCCCGAGTGGCGCAACCGTCTAAGCGTTGGCCCTGTCATCAGGAGATCGCGAGTTCGATCCCTGGTGATGCTACAGCCGTACGTGGCCGGGAGTCCAAGAGAGCACAATTGGCCTCGCTCTCTCTGGGTGGGTAGGATGGCCCCTCCTTCTCTCCCCATCACTCAGCGCGATGCTAGTCAGCGCAGGCGTCTGTTAGCTGACGTAACAGATCTGGCGGTTGGCGCTTTCCTCCGAGCGAGTTCAGCTGTCCAGTGATGCTGCGTCAGCGGCAGTTCGAAAAAGAAGCGGTGGTGCTTCACAGGTCTCGGAGGAAGCCTTTGTTAGCCTTCGCCCTCCTAGCATTGATAGTATCGTGTGATTGGGGGAGTCCTAACTAGCGGGTGGAATTAGAGACGACTAAATTGGGGAGAAAATTGGGTAAAAACAAAAACTAAAAAAAACGGGAGAAATCAAACAAGAAGCGACTTCAGCCTCACATCTTTTTAGTGTTTGTCAGTTTCTCATTGCAGATTAAACGTATCAGGAAACCAGCTGGAGTGATTATAAATACAGATAAGTCAGTTCGTCTCTAAATGATCGATGCCCGTCTTAAATCTCTCTCTTTGCTGCTTCGTTAGCTACTAGCTTGGCCAGATTGTTGTCTGTGTTGCTGTGGTGACTAGCAGTCTGCGCGCCAACCTTCAGGGTTAAAGAGTGAATTAGCAGTTGTACATTAACTTCAGTATTTAAGACCATTAAAACCATTTAAATGTTAAAACGGTGTTGAACGATCAGTAGAGCTTTATTTTACTGCAAATTTTAGTTTTACCTAAAAATCTAATTCTGCTGTTGCTATCCTCTGTACTATACAAAACAACCAGTGAACTTACGTGTGTCTTGAGTTTTTCTATGCAATATCATGTATGAGATAAATGACTTTGCTTCAGATTTCCAGTTCCACCTTAAATTGTGCCGCACTTACATTCAGTTTCCTTTTACAGGTGCCAGAATGTAACTGCTACTATATTTAAGGTGGAATGGAAACTACAGACAAAAAAAAAATTGGTAGCAATTTAAATTTGACTCATCATTTAGCACTTGTTTCCCCAGAAAGCAATATGGACAGTTTTATCTATATATTGTTCAGTTTTGTTTTTACTATTTTGCACAAAAAAATATATCAGGTTTACTTTGGTTGTTTAA